TAGTAGTAGTAGTAGTAGTAGTAGTAGTAGTAGTAGTAGTAGTAGTATACATTTTTCTTTTTTCGTGTGAATTTCGCTGTGAAATGGGAGGGTTAAGGTACTTTATAAGACGGTTCATGCCCCCCTCATGGGTGACGTCGAACCCTCCATCGATAGTGAAAACAGGTTTGTTAACAGATTGTTTCAAAAATATGTGAATGTTCCAATTCCAAGCGTGTGAAGATAGAGGCGTGCTTGGGGAGTGTGAGATGCTGGCTTCAGTTCATTTACAGGTTTCTTCACAGTATGTTTGAACTCTGACAGCGTGTGGAAAAGAATCTCTGGCTTTTTGATGGATGTGCGCAGCTCATCCTGAATACTTTAAACTTTTGTACTAGAGATCAAAAATGACAAAGTTAGAGGCTTAATTAAGACGTCTATACCATCTATGAAAAGCTAGGTTGCCCCTCTCATTTCTTAAAAAACCAAAGTCCTTACACCTGTCAATTTATTCACGGTCAGGTGTTGCCCTAACCAACTCATAGCTATGAAATGGGGTCCCCCAGAATTCACACAGGGATGTAGTAGTAGGAGGAGTAGTACTAGGAGTAGGAGTAGGAGCAGGAGCAGGAGTAGGAGTAGTAGTAGGAGTAGGAGTAGTTATAGTAGTAGTAGTAGTAGTAGTCGTAGTAGTAGTAGCAGTGGCAGTAGCAGTAATCACGAAAGGTAGCTTGAGCTACCTGAGTTCTCCTTGCTTTAGCAAAAATGTATTACAATGAGGAGTTGGGATTGTGCATTGAATTTGGTCCTGTAAGAGTTGATTCTGTTCGTCGGGGGGGGGGGGGGCCCCCCCCCCCTGGATCAAATCCCCCCTGCGCCGGTTCACGCCGTCGTGGACTTCTACCAGGGTTACTTGTGATTGCCTGCTACCTTTCGTTCACCCCCTCCTCTCTCAAGTAGCAGGAGTAGGAGTAGCAGGAGTAGTAGGAGTAGGAATAGAAGTTGTTTTGTTTCATTGTTTTGTGGGTCTTCATGGTCTTCACAGTCCACATCCTGCGGGTCAACATGGGTTGCAGGTTGTTTCAAGCTTTCTGATCGCGATCATCCATTTGCTGCATGCCAGACAGGTAGGTGCACATGTTGTTCATCATTCGATCTGTGTGAGCTTCTCTGTCCTTCAGAGCAAATGACGCCCGAGTGGAATACGTATGCAAATTAATACGTATGTTTTAGCCAAATAGATGTACATTGTTGCAACGTGACCATTCTCGGCTTCCAGATTGCTACAGTCCTGCTGTCGACCCGAATCTGTCCGGTGAACTACTCGGCGTCCACCCAATGATCTCGTGTCCGAATGCGATGAGAGGTCTTCGATGGGCAAAATCATGCAGCCACCTTCCTAGTGCGAGAAAAACACTTCGAAGGGCAGGACGGAAGGACGTGAAACGTGTTTTGGGCGCCTGTGGCCAAGTGACCACAGGTGGTACGGGAAGATGATGGAAGATGTCCCGAAAAGTTTGGGTGCGGAAACACATTTTTCTGGGCGGATCGAGTGCCTTGTATTTTGTGGTGTTGGTGCATATAATCTGGATTTCCATTCCAGGTATGGGGCGGCTTTGGCGTTTGATGATTTTTGATTGCCATGTCTTGCTCGTCAAAACGCAAACAAATAACTTAATTATATGGATCGGTGGATTTCTCCAAACGAACCGAAATAAAAAACAACAAAACATCAGTAGCTCACCTGGGCACGTGTCGCCACGCGGTGTACTCCGCGCAGAGTACTCCGCCCGCAGGAGTATTTGCCCGTCTTCAGCTGGTTCGAGGTGCAGATCCTCGGAGCGAGTATTTGCCGCTTCGGAGCTTCGCGGGGATCCCGCGGAACCGGCGACTTCAGGGTCAGGACGTGTTCGGAACCCGGTTGAAAGGGACTGGGTGAAGGATTCGTGCGAAGGGATGTGACGTCACCACCCATGGCGACTGGACTGGCCTGCATGGGTCGGGGTGGTTCCAGGCGTCAGTGTATGCCAGTCGCCACGGAGTGTGTTGGGGGGTATCTCAAATTACCGAGACAGCGAGGCCTTGGCGGCCGGGCGCTTGGATTGAACACGAGGTGATTCTGCTGACAGCTGTGAACAGCACCTTTATACGGCCCTGCACATGTTCCTAGATCGATGTTTCTATATTGAGAAACCGATGAGAAGCCGCCATCATTACACCAAAAAACGGACAAAAACTGGCGACAGACCTGCCTGATTTCTCGATCCTTCTTGGTGTGAAGTCTTTTCCCCCTTGCAGAACGTGGTGGTTCCTTTTTTCACTCCATGCGACTTGGCCGAGACGATCGCCGATCCGCCGGCCCGCGACGTCGGACGTCAGGAAGTCGGACTTGAACCCCGACGCGGACATCGCGGGCATGATGGCGTCCAGTGAGGAGAAGCAGGTGAAGTTGGAGGAGCAGTGCAAGGACCGTAAGTGCGATGAGCCGGGGTTGGGGGAGTCCAACATGAATTGCCATGACCTCGCTCCTGAGAAGGAGATGTTCTCGGATGGATATAAATTGTGTCTGTCACGAAAGCCAGACGATAGGCTAGGCTGCAGTTGTTTTTTGCTTGTGTTTTTAGTTATTACGTTGCCAAGGAGCAGGTGAATGGGTTAGTGCATCATTTGCATGAGCAACCTGCTCTGACGACACCATTACATACAGATTGATTGGGTGACATTCCACTCAGACTTGCTGGTTCACTGTTTTAAGTTTTAACATATGAAAGTCAATTTCCTATATATATACACAAGTTAAGTATTGTCCTTCTACAGGTCTGGCAGGTAGTTGCTCCTGGCTTTCGTTTCCCCCTTCTCACTGCAGAAGCCTCGTTCCCAAACTATTGTATAAGAATCATGTATTCAATATTGTATCACCAAGTCACGATCAAGCTTCTGACTGTTTGAAGTCTCATGTCAAGGTCCTCACTTACCAAAATCAGGCACCATGGACCATGATGGACAAATTATGTACATCGCATGTATGTTGTTCTGTTTCTGCTCCCAGAACCTGCAGAAGATCCATCAAGGCCACTTGCTTCCAGGCGAAGTCGGAGAAGTCGTTTTGGGTCCGACTGCAGGTGGTGAGTTGGAGGGTCCGACTTCCCTTCTTCATGTGAACGTGATATACATAATTTATT